CTTCTGGCTCCCACAGCACCTGCTAAGTACTACACCACACTGCAGCAGAGGCGCAATGCTTAGAGGACCCTACAGATGATCTTGTCCAATTTCCCAGTTTCTCTTCATCAGCCCTTTCCGTGGCTGACTGCCCTATGGAGAGAATTCAGCTATGCACTGATCTTTGCTATTTTTGTCATCTCTTGCCTGTGGCCCACATTTGAAACTGGGAAGAAAGAGAGAGAGTGTGTGTAGAGTAGAAATACAGACATATATATGTACGTAATAATAATTCCATTTAACCTCTTACTTGGAGAAAAATATTTATTCCTTTAAAATGTTTATGTTCATCTCTCTCCCTAAACTGTGAGTGAAATTATTGCAGAAGCTTAATGAGACATTCCAGGTTGTCTTTTCCATTTTGTTGTGCTGCATTTACCTTCTTTTATATCACCATTAATTCCAAACAGTATTCACATTCCTGAGCAATGATAACATGATAGTATCTTGGATTTCACTATATTTTAGAAATAAATCTGATTAAAAGAAAATATAACAATTCAGATCTTAACATCATTAGAATGTTTTTGAATTGAAACTTCCTGCTATCACGAGAAACAGTTTCAAAGTAACAGTACAGGTCTACTATATCATACTGTGTGTTAGTCATTCAACAAATGCTTTTTGAGCATCTAGTTACAGAACTATTTTACCAGATATGGGGGAAGGAGGGAGGCAAGGGAGAAGGCACTGTGAAGCCAGTGAGAGTAACACAAAGGAGGTTATAGGTAGGCATGCATGGTCTTTAAATGTGATGCTCACTGCTGTTAATATAGCCAGTTTTTAAAACTTTCTTTCATATGTAGTTTGTTTTAGTGACTTTTCAAGCCAACATATTGAAAAATTTCCCCTTATGGACTTTAATAAAATTTTAATTATGAAACATGAAATAATTATAACAAATCTAATGTATCTCAGTACAGTCCAATCAGAGAATTTAAGAGCTGTAAGAGAACTTACAGATTGTGTAGTTTGACTCCACAGTTAATTTTAAAACTATTTTGGGGGGCTGGGGGTATAGTTCTGAATTAGAGTTCTTGCCTACCATGCACAAGGCCCTAGGTTCAATCTCCAGCACACGGTAGCACAGGGCCTATTTTTATTTGATCTATTTTGTATTTATTCTAAAATGTGGTATAAAGACCAGAGGACCTGGATTTGCTATGTCCTTGGATGAAAAGAGAAGATCAGTTTTATCAGAAGTGCTGGCCACTGCTTACCAAACAGCAGAATGTTTGGTGGCTGACCTGGAAGGCTAGGTGCACTATTGTTTCTCTACTACAGTAGGTCCTGAGGCAGTGATTTGGTTAAATACTATGTTAATTATAGCATCAATTCACATTTCAGGATTCACTGCTTGCATATTATCTTGACAACATTAAATCTATTAATGTAGTATCTCCCATCTTTCATTTATATACCGAATGCAAATAAGTATCTGAAACTAAAATCAACCTTTAAAAAGAACTAAACTCATAAAGTACCTACTTATTATAATTTTTTTATGGTGCTAGGGACTGAACCCTTGGCCTTGTGCATGCCAGGCAAGTGCTCTACCACAGAGCTAGATCCCTTGTCCTATAATTTTTAATTTTTTAAAAGTATCCACCTATGTACCAGGCTTCTCCTATTATTCTATTGTACCTAATCTTGATGTTATGTTATAGAGTTTTCTGAATTAGCAAACTAAAACATTTCATAGCTCTATTTAGAGTAAAAGAAAGGACATCACTGTATTCTATGGTACAAGTGAATTGCAACTACTCTTATGTAACAGCTACTCTGCCTGGAAGCTGGGGAGGCTGTAAGAGTTTTCTTCAGCCCCCATCATGTTAAGGTTCACCGACTTGTGACCTGTGCAACTGGGTGGGAAAAACAAGAGTCATATTAACTCATAGGCATTCACAGTTTTTGTGGTATAAAGTTTTAAAAAATACAAATAGGGGTAATTTGTAATAACAAAGTAGCTACCATGTACCAGGTATTCAGTTTTTCTTTCTGACGTGGAAAAGACACATGTACAGAGATTAAGCAATTGGTCCAAGTTGATACAAATAATAAGGAGGTTCCTGTGGGCAAAGGCTGGGTCTTATCTATCATTCTATCCAGAGAGCTTCAGAATGTAGCTGTCTTTAGTGCTGGGGAGAGGGGAATGTGTTTTAATGTTTGTTCTATATTTTAATATCAAAGGTTTTTAAAATTTTGTGTTTTGTATTAGAATAAGGTAGCTCTTAAAGAAAAGGAGAGGCTATTTCAGGATATAGTTATTTTCACTTTATTTTTTCATTTCTTTGTGGTGACATCAAAAATCCTAGCTTTTATAAAGTTTCACTCTTAATTTATATAGACAGCTTATAAAGTAAAAGTTTTTAAATATACCACATCCTTTATCTCTAAAATGATAATCTCCCTGAGAGATCCTATGCTTCTTGTGATAGATTCTTCATCAAATCCTGCTAAGTAACAACAGGAGAGAGAGAGAGAGAGAGGGAGAGACACTGTGTTACATAACAGCAAAAGGGCAAGCCTTCCTATGTTTTCCACTAAAAAGCCCCCAAAGTCAAATATCTCCTGAGTCTGAGTTAGGTCCAGTTTCTCTGTCTGGCTTTTTCACCTTGGACAGTGTTTTCACCAGTACACAGCGCTCTTGGCTTTACTTCTTGAAATAAGATTTGACAGCTGTTCCACAATGCAGAGCAGCATTACATAACAAGGCAGTTGAACCCCAAAAGAAAACCATAATGAAGTAAGGCTGTGGTGAGTGGGCTTGTGGCTACATAGAATACACTTAGCAACATAGAAAATAGTTGTGACAAGGTCACACGAATGACTATCACTATGGAAATGCTCGGATTTTCCCCACAATAAACCTCCTAATTGTACCAACAGATCGCCAGCAGTGACCTTCTCCATGTGCACTTGTGTGGGAGAGAACTGCTCCTGCCATGGAGTCTGAATTCTTTCTGGCATGTTCTCGGAAGTCAGGTATGACCTACCCCCCTTTCTCTTTTTTATAATGCCACAACACAGACACATTTTTAAATAACAAAGAGTCAAATACTGAGAATTCTGACCTTATTAGCAAGTTTTTAAAAAATTTAATGCAACTCACTATCTAACATGATCTCTTTCCTGAGCATACTTTTTTAAAAAAGCAGGCCCTAGCTGGTTTTAACTTTTTAGTTCCAAAGAAGATGACTTCTAAGAATCATAATTGGTCCTGTAGTCAGCACTTTTGGGCTGTACAGAATTTGCTCACAAAGCCATGTATTAAAGTAATATTGAAAAATAACTGGAAGATACAACTTAGGGGAAAAAAAAATGCTTGTTTATGCAGATCTTTATGCAAATCTTTCAACAGCTCTATTTGCTTTTAATCAGTATTGATAAAAAGCACTTTCAATGAACTTGACTTAACACTAAAATGTACTTTTAATAGGTCTATTTCTGCTGTACTAATCAGAGGTAGATCTTTGGACACAAATCTTAAAATTTCAACCATTTCTAAAGAATATGCATACAGTTCTTGTTTAGGAATTCAAATAGACATTTTTGTGACCTAACAGAAATATAACTTTATGTTTGCAAGAGAACTTATTTGGAATCATTTTTCTGATAAAAGTCCTATAAGACCAGTGTGCATATTAAATAAGAAATGAGGCCTAGTGACCTGCATGTATTGTCTGGGTTCATACGTGGATAATGTGGTTAAACGTGGTACACATATGATTTCTGTTTTCTATGAAGTATTTAATGTACTGAATTGTCCCAATTTGAAAGGTAAGGTCCTTAATATCTTCAAAGAAGAAGAATACTTGGTTTACCTTAAAATATTAGCAATTTTTACACAGTTTATATAGTTCAGAAACACTTTAAGTAACTTATCCTTTACCTTGAAATGATCTAAAGATCATAATAGTTTATTCCTTACCATGGAAAATGCAAAGCATACTGGGGGCATGGTATTTAGCATTGCCTAAAATAGATGCAGGTATTAAAAATCAGGGTGAATTGCAAATTTGGAATGAAATTATTTAAGTACAGAGACTTGCATATTCTAATATTGAATAAATTAATAAATGAAAGAGCAGGATTTCTAGCTTGAACACCTTTTAAAGCCAAACATCGCCTTTCTAATATCAAAGCTAGTGATATTTTGCCTAAACTGAAAATTCTTATGTCTGAAAGAACTGCATGCATAGAGTTTCCTACCTATTGAGATGATACTATAGAAATGCCGGTTGCATCCACCTATTACGCATAGCTGGGCCTCTTTAGGAGCAACTTCACACTGTATATTCTCTGAATTAGGATGCAAAGGACACAACTTCAAGGCCTTATATTGTGCTATAAGTACAAGCAGGACCTCCATAGAGCTCATCTTGATGGAAGAAGATTCAGGTACATTTGATAAAATACATTAACATAATTTTAAACCACACACAGGTGACAGTAATCCTCAAGAAAAAAAAGAAGCTGCTAGAATCAGCAGCACCAATAGTCCCAGAGTAGCTACCCTCCTTTCATCATGGTCATTAACAGGGGAGAAAAGAGAAACTATGGGAAATGCAGACCATCTGCTCAATCCAGATGCAACTGCACATGCCTCTTATAGCCAAAGCTTTTTACCAGAAATGAACAGATAACATCTAATCCTCTCTTGAAATAGCCAACAAAGGTATTTAGGCACATTTGCATCACAAATAAAAATGCCTAAATCATTATTAAATGAGACATTTTAATATCAATGAAGACTTAACCAGCATCTACCCTCTCAAATAGAATACTAAAACAGCATTAGAGAAAATGAAGTTGGATTTCTATGAGCTAATAAGATCAGGCATGACATTTAGTCAAGTCATGCTAGTGTTTAAAAGACATCAGAAAATATTCCTTTAGTGTTGTATATTTCAAATAATGAGGATTCCTTTTAAGAAAAGGGAAAAAACAAATATTCTTACCTTGAAATTGTGAACCTTTTCATACTTTGGAATTTGCTCATTTTCTTTCAGAGTTGCTCTTCTAACAAGTGATGTCAACTGCGAATAAGCAAAGAGTTTCAGAGGTTGCCAGATTGTCACAGACGACTTTTGAGAACCCAGTTTCATTCCCAAGGCTGCTATCAATAAATCTTGCTGACGGCCCTCTTGTTTTGATTTGTGAACTGCAGCTCTATTAGTTTTCCTCCCTGACCAGGACTCTTTGGATGGCATTTTGGAATTTGGAGGAAAGAAAGAAAACCTGTATTGATCTGTGTCTGCCGATGAACTGTTTTCAGCTAACACGTGAGCACTCTGCAGCCACCACAGACTAACCTACAGAGAGCTGCGGACACACAGGGAGGAGGAAGAGGGTGATGAAGCACTTCTTCAGCAGAGGCGACTAAGCAGATTCTTCCTTTCTTCTTAAATCGTTCTATATTTAAGCCTCTGAAAACTTAAGAGTCTGAACAGAAAGAGTCGATGCTAACATACAAAACGTTCAGCATCTCTTTATCCCTTTTTAAAAGCCATGCAATTTTGACAGATACATTTTTAAAAGGTTTCTTCTTTATTCAACACATTAATGTCCATTCTGAATGAAAGATGCCTACATACTGCCGGCGCTCAGTTTCTAGCAAGACTCCCGGTGAACCGTCTAGCAGGGAGGGTGGGGGAAGGGAGGGATTTGCCTGGGAGGCGGGATTAGACTGGCCGCTGTAAGAAAGGAGACAACCAATGAAAATAAAGCAACAGTATTTAACCACTGTATTCCTTAACTCTGTTTCTCCCTCCTCTCATGTAAGATTTTCTTGCTTGCTCAAGGCACAGAAAAAAAAAAGTCAGTGGGAAGATAAAGAGCAATGAATGAGTCATACATTATTACAAAATAGAATTTTTAACCTATTAAAACAGAGAGAAATTAACATAGAGCAGGATTTAAAAAGAATGTAACACTGCCAGGTAAATTATGAAAACCTGATCTATATCCTTTGTGCATTATGCTGGGCATGCACTCCACCACTAGGCAACACCCCTAGCTCTCTTCTTTGTGCATTAGAGACTGAGGTTAGTGAACTAAAACTCAGTCTTATTAAAGGTAAACAAAAAATGGTAATGATTTTGATGAAAAAAGGATTTTAACTAGGTATCATTCTTTTCTTGCAGAACAAAGAGCAGCATATAACACTGTTAATACCCTGGAGTGGTCAGTTTTGTCTCTACTATGAATAGAGATCTACTATGAATAGACCTATGCTGTGGGTCTACATTTAATTAGATATAGCCAGTATTTTAACTCTAGTCTTAATATTTTTTTTATTCAGAGAGCTTGAGACCAGGTTGGAGGCCAGTTGGGAACACTTCCACTGTATCTGAGACCTGTGCTAGTGAGGAACTGTGCTTACTGGACCCTGGTGTGTTTTGCTGATGTAGAAAGGGGTGGGCTGAGTAAGAGGTTCAAACCCAACTCTATCTAAGAGTACTATCTATACTTTTCCCTACAGTGGTATGAGAGGTTTCAGTCTTCCCATTTTGCTTCCTAAACATGTCCCATCTAGTTCTTCATGCTACTATAACTTTAATCCATCATAATTCTAATGTTACACTGTATTTAAAGAATTTAAAGCTCAATATTTAAATTAATTAGGGGTTGGGGGTATAGCTCAGTGGTAGAGTGTGTCTTTAGCATGTGCAATGCCTTGGGTTCAATTCTCAGCACTTAGAACTCAGAACCTAAAAAAATAGAAAAAAGATTCAATAATTTTATAGTGCAAGCAATTTATCTCATTTTATAATCTATAGGTGGTCTGAGCCCAATGTTTATTATAGTTTAGGGTATGTATGGTCTTACACTATAGTAGATGTTGGAAATAATGATTTTCTAAGTCTTTCCAAGTTATTTTTCTTTTCTTGAGTCTGTAGTCCTTTTTATTCTTTTAAAAACATTTATAGATAAATAAAAAACATATGTTAATATTTACATCTACAGAAATTTTGGGCCGGGGATTTAGCTCAGTGGTGCTGCCGCCTGCTTTGCAAGCACAAGGTCCTGAGTTTGATCCCCTGTACTGTAAAAAAAAAAAAAAAAAATTCAATATCATAGATTATAACCCTTAAATGATCTCAGACATCAAATGGTCACCAAGAAGAAAGTCAAAGGGAAAAATAACTTTGCCTAACCTAAATTACTCTTCAGTTTAAACCTAGTTTGTCATGTGATAGCTAAAAATATAAAGGCCAACTTTTTAGACATGTGCAGCCAAGATTCCAAAGGCAAATTTAATGATACTTTTTCCCCCTCAACAAGATTTAAGATTAAGTTTCTAAGTTAAAGAAAGCAACCACATATGTAAACCAAGGAGCACATTTTTAGTATCTCTAGTCAGGGTTTTAGATCACCCCTAGTCCTTTGGCTGTAGTAACACAAATTCGACCTGGCTAATTCATGGGTTACCTCATGTAAAGGGTGACAGAAGAAAAGCTTAAAAATTCCTTGGCAAAGTCAACATGAATGTGCACACTTTACCTGCTTAAAGAGTCATTTTAATTCTATAAATGGCATCAAGTTAATAGTCCTTGTCTCCTTTTGGTCAACTCACATCCCTAGGAGAACAAGGACAGGACAGCTATTGCATCCCCTAGCATGGCTGGAGTGTTTTGTTAGTAATTGTAGCATTGTTATTTCCATGCATAATGGAAAAATTTGGGCCATAAGGCAGAATATGAACACTTGATATTCATATTCTATGAACTACTAGGATGTGTCCTAGTTTTTCTAAGAGAAGTTGAAGTCTTATTTAAAATTACTTCATTATTAAAATTTCTTCTCACAATTTACAATCTAGTATCATCTCTAGTATTAAGTTTACAATGTCTTTATTATTCAGATAAACAATCTGTAGATGGTTTACCTGAAAAACAATCAATTAAACCTAGCATAAAAATATTCAGTTATCCAGAAAATTCATGCCCAGACAAAAGTGACTATTTTGTCCCTGAAAGGTAAAGTTTACTGTAGATTTTCTTAATTTTCCTACTTAATCAAGAAATACTGGATTAATTACAATTTGGGCAGCTACCTGAGGCAGTCAGCGATAGAAAAATAACAGCTTAGGATGAAAACGATCTCACTTAGCTACTCTCCAGTGGTTGATACTTTGGCCATATGATGCTTTCTACATGGCAGTAACTGCACATCTGTATGAATTCTGGAGACGCACTTGCACACCCAAGAACTCTACAACTTTGAACCCTTGTTAGTGTTCTGATGTTCCAGACAAATGTACATCACTCATGCTTACATTTATCTAGCTGTATCTATCTACCCAGGTAATAGTTATCAACCCTGTTAATTATAGCTATCATTGGGTACTGAGCAGGTACTCAGCTAAGCACTTCACATACAGAATCCCATTACATCCACAGATAAAACTCTATGAAGCATACCTTACCCTCGTTTTGTAGCTGAAATAAAAACTGAGGCCTACAGAAATTAAATCCCCCAAATTGCACAGCTAGGTGGTGGTGGAGTTGTGCCTTTAAAAGACTATGGTATATCCACCTATGTGAGAAAATAAGAGAGCTGGAGTCTGAGGGAGGTGATTTTCTTCTGATTCTATTCAAAATAGAAAGCAACAATGACCTTGTAGGATACATGCACCCTGAGTTTAAACTCCTCACCCAGTTAAGCCATTTTCTTGTTTTACAGAGCCCAGAATATGAAAGGCATTGTATCCCTAATATTTTGTCTTTATCTCCTGATATTTCAGGACATCAGTATCAAGGATGGACAAAGTGAGGCCCGAAGACAGGCCAGAGACTCCTTGATACTGATGTCATTTACGTAGGTTCAACTGAATAAGAGTGACTAGTTGGAAAAAGAGGAAATAGGAAGATTCTATAATCCACTCTTTCTAACTTTGTCCATATCATCTGTAATACAGAGAAGACAACTATAAAAATGATGAGGGGTAAGGAGAAGATGAGGAGTAGTATGAGGAATAAGGAATTAGTAGTGCGGTAAGTGATCTTGGAAAGGAACACATTCATGGCCTTTCAAATACATTTCCAGTGACCCCACCATCCTGGTGTTTGTCCAGTAGTAATACCAGATCTGTGCCGAGCTAGCTTCTCAATTTCACTAAGTTGTGCTCACTTTGGCAGCACATATACTAAAAATATCACTTTCACCAAGTGTAGTATAACTGAGAACTTGGGCTCTGAGGCCACACAAAAGTGCTAACTTCAGCCCTGTCATTTATTGGCTGTGGAATGTCTTTAATCAAGTCACTAATTTGTTTCCTCATGTTTAAAATGGATAAAAACTACTTATACAATTATTAAGAGTTAAATAAAACAATATGTGAGAAGCATTTTGAATTATTTCCCAGCACAGAAAGTAATAAATGAAAATTTCCTGTCCTTTTTTTGAATCTAAGGACTTATTTCCAAGATTAGGGTTGGTATTAAATGTGGTTGTAACACAGATTAAAGATCCAAGGCCACTGTTGGGTACAACGTGGGCCTGAAGAACACATTGTAAACCTCACCATTCTGTAATTTCTACCTTCCTCTGTCCTGGCATTTTTAATTTGCAAAAATCCCTATGTTCAAACTCTGAGTAATCCTTCAAACCCTGCTTACAGACAGCCAGGCTTAGGGATGCATCCCTACAATTTAGTGAGGCCTCGTCTCAAAATAAAAGTTAAAATGGGCTGGGCTTGGTAGCATAGGCCTGTAATCCTAGCATGCTGGGAGGCTAGGCAAGAGGATTGTAAATCTGAGCCCAGCCTGGACAATTTAGCAAGACCCTGTCTCAAAATTTTAAAATGGGCCAGGAATGTAGCTCAGTAGTATGGCACTTGCCTAACATGTATGAAGCCCTGAATTCAATCCCTAACATCATAAAACAAAAAATAAACCTCCTTGCCTGCAGGAAAGAGTCTTAAATTACACTAAGGTACATATGACTGATCACAGTGCCTTTTCCACAGTATCCGTTTTTTAATACAGGACCAAGATTTGAGCCAAAGGAGGAAATCTTCAATTAGTGAACATCA